ATGGCTACCGCTGTTCCTGAAAGGGCCATCGCGGCCTGGTTCGGGATCAATGTTGTTGCTACTGCATATTTTCGGCCAGTAAACGGCTGTGGTTGAAGTTTAAAAATTTCCTGTTGTCTGTTGTTACTCACAGAACTAATCCAATTTCTGTCTTTTATCACTGCTGTGAAAGGACGATGAAAATATGCGACCAGAATAAAAGCTCGTCGTTGCCGGTAACTTATAATATTTCTTGTCGCTTTTGCGTTATCTATTTCTTAATTTTGAGTTATACGTGAGGTTAGTTGCTGTTCTGGATCGTCTCTTTCTTCCGCCGCTGACTGAGTTACTCTCTAAAACGTATGAACACAGGTGTAAAAATCTGTTAACACCTAGCGAGTATGCGATGTGGTGAATCAGCGAAGCTGTCCGTCTTTAAATACAGGTGGTCGCGTGTTATAATGGAAATTATTTTCTTCGTCCAAGAGCCATCTTTTTACATTTCACTTCAAGCAGAAAAGCGTTCGGAGCGCATTCTGTCAGCGTACGTGCAAAAGGACGATGTTAGCGTCAACAATGCCCCGTTATACCGGGTTTACTGGGAAATGGTGTTTTTCGATACAGTTGGTGTCGTATCTTTGTATGACCTTCAAGACCGCGTCATTTGAGTTCAGGTTTTAAGCTGGCAATTCATTGGAAGTTACTAGACGACAGCGTGTGCTTTATTTTTATGGTTTAAATTGAATATTGAGGTTGTGTGTATTTAGGCTAAGCATTCCACGTTTACATATAGGGAAATCCCAGAATTTTAATCTGTGCGGATGATTTGCATATCTGTCATGTTGTGTTCCCATGTGGCTAATTAATTACGTGTATGTATTCTATCATTATCTATTAGGGTCCCCTAGAGTAATTAAATATGGAGAATTGGGAAATGGTGGTGATTGAAAAGCTCCACTAGTTGTTTAATAAAAAATATTCAGCCCAAAACGTTCCTTATGAGAATGGGTGCATGGAGTAATTGTTTCTCTATTTAAAGGCGCATGGATACCGAGTGTTGCAACTGCTGAATTTTGATGTTTGAAAGTTAACTGCTGCTTGAATTAAGTTACAAAAAAAAACTCCATTTTTCAATATATAAAAAATACACAACTATCGCAGTTAATGGTTGAACACAGCGATTAAATAGCAGTTCAGTTTTGCACTGAGCTTGTGATTATAACGACAGTGCCTGCTTCAGTGTCGAGCGTCGCGCAACACTCCCTTTTCTGATACCTGACTGAATGTCTGTGACGAAAGTTTCGTTACGCTCTGTTTGAGTATTTTGTGAGTATTGCAGGAGTAATGCAACCTGCCAATCATCTGCTGACGAACAGGGCATACGATATCATGCATTAAACTAACCCAAATATAACAGACGAACGATAAATTTTAAAATGTAAGTATACTAAAAATGTAAGTTTACAATAAAGTACTTTGAGCTGAACTCTCCGATCGAGTGGTCCAGAGTGCAGAATCTATCAGAGCGACTAGCAGTAAAGAGTAAAATCGGAGAACCGATTACTCTACTGACTATTTGCCGCATGTTCCATTACTCTCGAAAAAGTCTCCTACTTTATCCTAGAAATACTTACGGAGGCGATTGATACAAGATAGACCAAATGAAGCAGAATTCCAGACGTAGTATTATCACCTGACCAAATTTTTATTCTTTGTCTTGCCGACGATTTCCTTTACGTTGATGTGCTACTTCCAGCTTTCAGCAGCAGCGGCAGGATAAGAAGATCGCCCTTTCATCCAGTGCTTGTATCAATGAATCCATTAGTTAGACTGATTAGAAGTAAGGAAAACGCATTTCCGCTGCCTCTAGCTGGTCGGCGAGATATTTTGATGGTTACTATAACGAAGAACGAAGTGCGGCGGTTGAACTGTATGGAACAGATTTGGCTTAGATTTTAAACCTTAGAAGGTTTAAATGGCAGGACAAAGTAAGGCATGATTAAGTCTTATTTCGGACACAGGAGTCCCCATAGATGCGGAAGTGGCCTTGTTATATAAATTGGCTGACCATCAGTCATTACTGATAATAATTACTAATAATTACTACAACCAGTGACCTTGTGACCGTGTCAGAGACTAACATGGCAACCATCGACGAGTAGGCCATCATGCTCTATTGAGGACCCAAGTAGAGGCAGATTAACATTCGAAGAGGAATATTTCCTTCTGAGATGCAGTAACCGGGGCCTTATGGCAGCGGACGTCACAGATCAAAGATGTTCTGCGTATGTATACGCTGTGGATTGATGATATTAACAAGCAGCATAATTAGTCGTCATCACTGGCAGCGCTTTCGTTTTCCTGAGACTGCTCATTCCTGGTTGAATTGCTCGTCAGCACTGTATTCTGCACTCCTTTGCTTTTGAGTTTTGCTCGAAACACAAACCCGAAGAAGAGAGAAGAAGGTAATGACCTTTACAGCCACCTCTCTGTTAGTTGTTTAGAACTCTCTAGGAAGTTTAGGTGCTGCTTGACGTATATCTGGGCCTAAGCTGACCCCTCTCTGCTCAGATACACGCCGCAGTCAGTGCGGAAGTAGGCGTTTGGTTAGGTGGTTTGGGGATATAGTTTACCGTACTTCTTCATCAGATTATTTCAGTTTCTAATATTTCATATGTACATTCTTTCATTTTTTATTTAAATTATTCAAAACCGATTAACTGATTCGCCACCATCACATGGTCTTAAATCACCAGCTGGTGGTTGGGCCAAGGTTGTTGTAGATTCCTCTTCTCCGTTTGGATGACAAATCTTACTTTTACCGTATTTTCGACTTGAATTTTAGATGGTGATAGCGCAGATGTATTTAGCGGTATTTCGAAAGAGAGGGCAGAAAAGAAAATGCATGTGTGTGATGACCGGGTCGATGCGGACAAAGGGGTGTCATGGCACATTAGCGACGCCAGTATATGAGTTGATCGGTAGGATCTATAGCTTATTCATTGTACTGAAGCTTTCAACAAATATTCAGTTGTGAAACAAATTTCTGTTTCTTCTACCCCACCTTTGTTGATTCACATTTCAGAGCAGGTAACGAACGGAGAACCATACTGAAATCCATTCAACTTTCTTCCAACGAATTTCTGCGTTGCCATCAGCCTTTTAAACAAAAGAAATCACATTGTAGTTCGGTTTTTTTCCGGGCAAAGGGTTGAACGTTGGTTGAACGTTCATTTAGAAATCTTTATTTCTTGTTGTTTTGTACGTCACTTGGTTTAATATGAGTTTTGATTTTCAGGTACAGTGCCTCTTTTATTGATCGAAGTTTGTTTGCAAAAGATAAATAATAAAGCTAAAGGTATCATTTTAGCCGTCGCTTAGACGTGAAATATCCACTTCTACCTCGAGCGACGATGATCTTGTCATATATCCATTGAATCTCGATGACTTTAGCAGGAATGCCTGTCGACGGGACGCTGAACAGACGAGAAGAGCTTACGAAAAGAATGCTGCCAAAAGGTTAGTTCTTGGTGTTTGTCGTCACGTCTGATATAATAATATTTGGACTCACTCGCACATCACGTTTTTATGTTACGGTATACTTTCAGCAAAAATGGCAGCGTAAGAGGTAACGTAGTGAACAAATGGAGAGCTGTTGCGCACAAGGCGTTGAACTGTGGCGATCCATGGCTGAACAGAAACATTTCCAGTTTACCAACCGAGCTTTGCCAGCGACACCGATACTCAGCGGTGTGCAAGAAATGGGTCTCAGACACGGTTATGGTAAAGATGGAGCTGGAGGTAGGCCAACTGCATAAATTTTTTAACTTATTTGTCCTCTTTTCTTCACCTCTTTGTAGGTGCGGTGTGATAGTGAAATGTACGATATTGAAACTAGTCGAATAAAGAATATTAAAATGATTATAACTGAGATCATTTTGCGCATGGGGGAGGGAGTATGATTGGGATTTCGAAAGATGTACGAAGTTCTTACTGGACAACTTCTGTCCAATCATCGCCTTATATAGAGGAGTATTTTATTCATATTTGCAGTTGATTCTTTTTCAAAGCCAACTAATTCTTTTGAATCGCTGGGTTGGAGATCTTT